TTGCAGTGCTCCACGGCACACCGACATCAGATTCGCTTAACAACTTAAGCAAGGGGAAACACTGCCTGCAAATGAGTAGCTGTCATTTAGGCGCCTCGAAAACATGCAAATGCACCGGTAGTGAGGAAACAAGTCATCTGCTGAGAATGAGGTGTGCAGAGAAGTGCAGCTGCTCTCTATCATGCCGGAGAAAATGAATTTTGTCCGCAGGTCGTGCCCCCACCCACTTCTTCTCTGTTCCCTGCCTCTGGCTGGGAGCAGATTGTGCAATCTTACACGACTAGTGAAACAATTTTCAGATTGTCAGTCACCCAGGCCGCCTTGCATCGCGAGGTCACGGCTGTCTTTTTCTCGCACTTGCTCACTTGCTAGTGATGCACATTGGATACTCAATGACTTCATAGTGTATAAAAATGACCCGATGGAAACTACAACTGTATTAGATTTGCGGCCGTGACTCAGAAACGAAAAAGAAAGGCCGTCCAAGTGCGGCACTTTTAGGGAAATAAGTTTCAAAGGTACTCCAAGGGCACAGGAGCTCCGAGTGTTGGCACGGTCCCTGATGCCTACCATCTGCCGTGGAGTGGTGTCTGCCACTTGATACCAGGCTAAAAAAATCAGTCTTACAAGTACAATCCTGCTTTTTCAAGCTAAATCACATGTAAATTGACCGGTATCATCCTACTCGCTTTATAATGAAGTAGGCCTTCTGTGGATCAGATCAGCTCTGGGATGAATAATAATGATTTCCAAATGTGTTTAGAGGCAACAAATCAAAGGCGCTGCTGCTTAATTCTCACAGGGATTTCTCTACATGGAGTATTTGTCTAATCCACTATGAAGGAAAAAAGGCAGCGGTGGGGAACGTTGTTCCTTAGACAGCGTGAACAGCCCAATAAAGTATCTGTTTCTGGAAATAAAACCTCAGGCTTGTAGAATTTAAGGGAGAGTGTACCAGGTGATTTGCCACCAGCCAGACTTGATCTCGTACCAAGAATACACATCTGGGGATAAACTGTTAAACCTTTGGGGCTGGATCACCTCTTAAACCCACCTCCGCATCAGTCTTGTACATCCTCTTTTAATGTCTGGATTAACTCTATAACATTGGCGAAACAAAGTGAATGTTTCAGAAACGCCCTTTGATTTAGTTTTGTCACAAAATCGATTCATTTAATCCACTTTTAATGACATTAACTCAGGAGAAAAGAAATGTCTTGGCTTGTTTGCCAACAGGATATGGTCCAAATGTAGTCTACCAAGTTTGGCCCAACTGTAGACAAATGCATACCATTTCTTAGTGGTGATTACATGTATTTATGTATTTTTAACCTTAGTGTTGTTTGCTGCGGGTAACAGATGTCCTTTTCGTAGGCTTGTTGTCCGTCAGACACTAATGGTGGGCGCACCATTGCCCCTACTTTGAGCTCCACCTTCACAAGGCATTGGATTGGTTTAGAAATGTCACTCTTGGTTTGTTTCCACCCACTTTTAACCCAAAATTTCTCATGGGACTGGGTTGTCCCCAGTCATGTATTCTCGGTAGACTGCCAAGTAGCTGACCGTGTGATCAAATTCAGTTCAAGGGTGGCCTACGGGTTGTCAACATTTGGCACTTGCAGAATGTGTTCATATCTTTTTGAAATATCTACTTTTTTTGATGTGGATTCCCACCAGTAATTGGCTTGTACTACCCAGGTAACTCGAGTCAGATCTGCTTTTCTAACTGTTATTTTGTTGCCCAGAGTTCTCTGCACTCTCAGGGAAAAATCCCAGCAGACCCAGAGAATCAGATTAGAATATTATACAATTTTAATGTCTAATTTAAAAGGGCTCAATTGTGGTTTGTAATGAAACGACTAACGCAGAATATAAACTAACGAAAACCATTGGGATGAGTTATTCCGTGCCTGACTAGAATGCTCTAAATCACCCAGACTTTGCACAGAAAATACCAGCAAAGTGCTTAAAATTTAATTTTTTTTTCCTGCTCTGCGCCACAATTCTCGTCTCCTTTGAGACAGTGAGACAGAGATGGTGGAAAGGCAGATCAGGAGGAAGACTAACATAACATTTTGAATTATTTAGAGGAAACTTAGGGCTTTATGGCTTGAACTTTTAAACTCGAGCCAACATTATACATTTTAATCTGGTTTTGTTGCCTCCTCGTCACTCGGGGGGTGATGCATGCCGTCCTCGTGATATTCCTGGTCTCATGACAGTTTCCTTACACTTTTTATCTGGAGATAAAGCAAAATCACTGTACTGTGAAGCAGGTAGCGAGAGAAACGTGGGATCTTCTGAAGTCAAAATGGATTTGAAAGTCAGCTCCTACTTCTGTTTACTACTGCTGAGATTTTCACGCGATGCCATTTTGCTCTTTGGGCAGGAAAAGAGCAGTCGCGTCATACTTCACTCAGAAGCGGAAAGTTCACAAGTTTTGACGGCCTACTGAGGAGATGCTTGATGGAAATGCAGATTTTGACATTTGTTGCTCTTTGGGGACTGAACGGGTCTTCAGGTTTCTGGATGGTAGACAGCAGGAAATCTATCTTTTTTTTTTCAAGGGAGTTTTTGAAGGGATGTTAAGGATTTTCATGCGCAAGATCGTCTCAATGTCAGTATGACTGGAATGGGCTGGGAACTCCTGCTTCGAAGAAACTACTCATTAAAATAATGCTTTCAGACAGCTGTTGGCCACCCGAGATGCCGGTGGTCCGGCCACTCATGTGCCGCGCCATTTGATGTTTCACATTTGGGTCTAGCCGAGCTAGTGTGAATCGGAGCATGGCAAAGAAAGAGACCACAGAGCCTACATGGTAGCAAGCTGTCTGTATTCATTAAGGCTGGCCGAGGCAGAGGGGCTTTAAACAGTCAGTCGGAGGTCAGAGGGATAGAATACACAGTGTGGCGGCCAGCCAGTGCAGCAGTAGGTGAGAACATGCTGTGCGGAACTGAAAGTTTGGGTTTTATTTTTTTTTTTTTTCCTCTGTCGCCGACCACTTTCAGAGCTTCAGGGTTTTAGTTGCACTAGCGAGAAAGCAGAAACTTTCAAATGAAAACAGGAAATATTAGCATACACAGTACTGCGCAGAAGTCAGAGACCACTGAGGTGTCCAGCCCTTGCCTTCCAGACTTGCTTTCAGTTTTCCAAAGACATCTGCAGGGATTTTTTTCAAACCTCCAAAGTTCAGCCTTCGAAGTTGGTTGCATTTTCTGCTCCTCATGATCCGAGCAATCCCAAACACATTCAGTGATGTTGAGGTGTGGTCTCTGGGGTGGTCAGTCCATTGTTCTGAGAACACCAGCAGCTTCTTTGTTTGATGTGTCCGTCTTCTTTTCTCAGTGAGGTTCTTCTTGACCATTACACATCCTTTCAGACCCACAGCGCTGAGTCGTCTTCTCACAGTGGAAGGATGGACAGAAACACCTGTGGATGTTTTCAGATCTGAAGCAGCTTGATTTTCTCCTCTCTCTCAAAGATGAAAGCTTTAAGTGCTGTTTATCTGATGGGGGCAGTTTTGGTGGTCTGCCAGGTCTTCCAGGTGGTTGTTAGCAGTCCCATTTTCTCTGTACCTTGCAACGTTTTGGACTCCAGTTTCGGAAACTCTTGTTTTTAAAACTTTGACTGTCCTCTTTCTTATGCAACTATTTTCTCCAATCTTCTCAGAAATGCCTTGAGAAATTAATAACTTGTGCATGGTTGTTTTGACTGTAAATCAAATAAATGAAGGTAGGTCTGAGCTTTACACTTCAGCGGTTACATTAAGTTGAAACGAGGAGAAAGCATTTATGAATGTATTTGATAACACTCACTTATGGATTGGCAGTAAAATGAGTTTCAATTGGCAGTCATTCAACTAACTTAATAAGTGAGACTCTATTTAAATCAACATGAGCTCTGTAGACGATCTGTATAGGGGGTTATTTTAGCTAATTATTGTACAATCACTGTGTTTTCCTATGTGTGTGCTCACAAATGCGACATGGTCATTCACGTATTTATCCATTTAATGTCACAACAAATGTGGGAGGTTGTGTGTAGCGTATGGGTCTATTGGATTTCATTGGACAGAATTGGATTTGTTGGCGGTATAATGACTTTCAGGGCTTTTTTTCCGCCACTCACAGGCTTAGCTCTATCAGGCGCTCTACAGCCACCGTTGATGGGCTGGAGGTTTTATTCCAGCGTGAATCCCCAAGATGGCATGAACACAACCGTCTTGTTCCTTGTTGTTCCTCCCTCTAGAGAAACACGGAGATTGGAACGGGGAAGGAGGAGAGGCTGTGTTCGAACGGCTGCCTTGTTTTGCCAAATTCTCATCTGCTTTCTTTGGAATGAGCTTCTCAGTACCCTGTCGTGTCTCGCTGTTTCCCTTTATCGTTTCTCTTTTCTTTTTGTCTACCTCTCTCTCTCTCTCTCTCTCTCTCTTCTGCTCTTATGCTCTGTCTTATTGTGCTCTCTCACTCGTGATTATTTATATTAGATCAAAACACGGGAACCTAGTCTAGATTGTGTATACAATTCAGAAACTTGATGCAGGAAGGACCCTTATCCACCACGATGCGATGCATTTGGGCTCATCAGTCAAACACAAAGCATTCCATTTGCTGCCTTTGCTTATGCCTTTTCAATTCATCAGGCCCTCGCCTGGAGGAGGCTGCTTCTTGTCTTCAGTGGACAAAACAAAAACAAAAAGGCACCATTTGTTCTGGCAATATTCTTCATTTCGTGCCCTGTTACAAGAAATCAATGGCACATGGTCCAAAGGGAAATTAACATATTTACAATGTGAAAAACGACAGAAAATGCAGAACTTGGCGTGTCTGAAATTTGGCTGTTTCTATTAAGGATGACAAACAAAAAAGATTTCTAATTATCGTCTCCTGTCATTAGTTAACTGATGTAGTGAACAGTGTTTAAATGTTTTTTTGTTTTTTTTTAAAGTGTGTCTGAGTCTATTTTGTGCACAGAATTGTTCACAATGTTCTTTTTACAGGAACTACAGGGGATGCGGCTCCTGATTCACCCTCGGTGGGCGGGACTTTACCTCACTTCCTGCAGGAGCCAGAGGATGCCTACATCATAAAGAGCAACCCAATCAGATTGCGGTGCCGCGCTGCTCCCGCCCTCCAGATATTCTTCAAGTGCAATGGGGAATGGGTCCATCAGAACCAGCACATGTCCCAGGAGTACATGGACCAAGACACTGGTATGTACCTTCGCAGTGTCCAGTCTGCTTCTTCATGTTTGTGGTAGACGACTCAAACAACTGGGGGTGCAACGATATAGAATTTCCAAGTTGATAATGAGCTCATAATTAAAACCATGTTTTAGCATTTGGTACTGTTTTCTACTAGATGGACACTGGTCATTTCCTTTGGGAGATCTTTGACCCTTTGTGTTTTCTTGATTTAATTTGAGTTGGACAGGACTAAACTGGAAGAGACTGATGTCAGGTGATTCCTTGAGCCAATCAGAATTACGGTCAGTGACTCCTTACCACAGCCCCACCCACTACTGTCTCTTTAGTTGTGACTGACCACCAGTGGGAAAGCTAGCATTTTAAAAACACCCCTTAACTGTGGTACAGTGACTGTAATGCCCAGCTTTAATATCTAAAAAAGTCTACATTACAAATGATTAGTTCCCACAAGTGAAACTGGCTTTCTGCTGCCATTTTATGCCACAGCTGCCCAGCAGAATATGAGAGTATGCAGGTTTCTTCTGCATAACTTGTTGTAGAGTCTCATTTATCAGGCAAATGCTCAGCAGCTAGGCACTGTGCTGTACTATAACAAATGCTAACGGTGTTTGTTAGGGCTAAACCATTTTTGTCTTTGAGGCATGAATACTTAACTTAGTGTACCAGACTGTTGGTTAGTAATGGTTGTGTTGTCACACCTCACATGGGTGTTTGATTTATTCTGATTGGTCTAACTTATGTACGAGCGGTTCACAAGCCCTGCATTACTGGGTTATATTTTCTTTAGGCTGTAATTAAAATTTTAGCTCTTGTAATTTAAAAATTAAACTCTATTTAAAACATATTAAGCCCTAGAGTTTGGATTATTAGCCGAATTCCTACTTATGTTGGCCACTATCAATGCAGTTGATCGTAACGTTACCTCAGTAATCTGATATCTCAGACAGAAAGTCTGATTACTGCCAGAAAATAAAAGCTTTAAAAAAACTATTGCTGTAGGGTTGTTTACATTGCTGTAGCATCTGAAATGTCCGCTCAGTCCTTTTCTTTTCGGTCCATATGAAATAATGTTTAAGATTTGTTTTCAAAACTGACTTTGGCTAATGATCACCAAGCCACAAATCTTTAGATCATTGAGATTTAATACTTGCAGTTGAGTTAAAAACCCCTTTAAAACTCTAAATGCTGCTAATGTTAGCAGACAGAGTTAGATTAGTGCTGATATTTTCACCTTATACCAGTATATTTGCATGAGGGCATGCAAAAATAGAAATGGAGCTACATTAGTTGTAATTAGCAGCCATAATTACAATATTGGGCCAACAATAATAATGAATTATGGTTATAATAATTCAATAATTATAACATGCTTCCATTTGTCAGCAAATAACATATGAACCCCCAGGTATTATGCACCCGTCCTAACAACAGGCCACAATAAGGTGTTTGTTACATTGAGTCCTGTATAATTTCAGCTCATGGGTTGCCTCAGCCTAAGTCTGAACTAGTCAGTGGTTGAGGCGGAGGCGAGTGCAGTTCCTGGAAGTGTTTTTCTGGTAAATGCTAGCCTGCTATTTCCTGTTCTGAAACATTACCACTTAAGAGTGTCCTAAAATGACAGCCTTTGGGCCTTAGTGCTGCTCCTCCAAACTTCTTTGGCAGCTCAGTTTCAGCTGGTCGAATTGCACTCAGCTTCACTCAGTGTGACTGCAGAGAATCCAGAAAAAAAACTGTGCAAACTGCGAAGCTGCAAAGATGATGCCTTAATTCATTTAGTTTTATGTCTGTAGATGTCACTTACTTGGATGTATCTTCGTTCCCTTTCTTTATAAGTATATAACACCTCCTACATTCTCCCTGAAGTATACGAAGTCGTCGTTTCACCGTATTCCCTTTTAACCTGTCAGTTTTCCCTCTCTCGCTCTGATTCCAACGCGTTTGCGTACTTTGATCCCCTCTGTCTTGTCAGGTGTGCCGCTCAAAAAAACAACAACAAGGAAAAAAACAACGACAACACCTTTGGAGAAGTTCCGATGACACGTCTTTGCAGCTCATGCACGAAAGGCGGTCATGTTCAATGCAATTTAGCTCCAATCAGCGGCGGTGTCAGAGAAATGAACACAGCCATGTTCTGATGAGAGCGAGGTTTCCTGCAGGGATTTCCAGAAGAAAACACAAACTAATCCAGCAGCCTCAGTGAAATGCGCCGTGATTAGTTTGCACGGAGGCGAGACAGGAAAGCTGCCTAGCATTCATGAAGCCTCCGCTGCAGGAAGAGGCTCTTAATTGCTTGTGGAAGTTCATTATTGTGCGATTGCCGCGCTGTGAAATTGTTGTGGGACTGATAACAGGGAAGTGAAAGGGACAGCTTTGATTATTTTCTGGCCTGAACATTTTAGAGGATGGGGGGGCAAAGAAAAAAAAAATGTTTTCTTGATTTCATAAGCAAAATCTGCTTAAGTGCTATCTTCTGGTATCATTTCAAGGTGTCCATACAAAACTTGTCCTTGTCACGCGTCCCTCCAGCCATGACTCTCGGGACTCCGATTCCCAGAACCCTCTGGGTGAACACGTGACGTCAAGGTCACCACGTTCCACCTATCAGGGATCAGCTCACCCTGACTATTGATGTTTTTCACCTGTTTTATATATCATGTGACTAGATCCAGTTTGTTTATAAGCCCAGGCTTTAGGCTAGGTTAGTTGCGAGCCATTCACTGAGCTACTGAGCGTTCTTGATCATGTCCTTTTCTACTCTTTGTGACTCTTTGTTATGTTTGTACACTGTTGGCTAGTGTTGGTTCTGACCCTTCGCCTGTTTTTCGACCTCAATTGTGGATTTTGGACAAACTAGTAAAGCCTCTTTTTCACATTGTATTCTCAGGCGTCTGACGAAGTCTGACTCGTTACGTTCCTAATGTATTATTGTCACTCGATCTGGCCATTTCTTTAATTGTGAGGTGACTGTACAGTCACTAGAATCGTAAACAATATGTCAGAAGTAGCCGAACGTACATTGATTGTATCTTCATAATTTAAAGGGCGATTCTGGCATAAAACTAGCATTAAGTGTTTTTGTCATGCAGTATTCTGTTGCACAGCATTGCATACACTGATTTGTATCCTTCTTGCATTTTTGTCCAGCACTATTCTTTCACTACAATACCCAGCATGCATCTCACAAATACGTCATCGAGAATTCCCCCACAGCAATAAATACTACATTCAGCCAGAGAATTTCTTGAGGAAAACTGCCAGTGATCACTAATGTCAGCTTTGTCAGATGCTAGAGGGCGATCCCAAGCATGTCCAAAATGAATGGGTTCCTGTAGAGCTTAAAGAACTGGCTAACAGTGCTTTATGTAGGTTCATGACGTCAGTGAGCGTGAACTGCTTTACTCGGCCAATGAGCTGACCAGCTTGCCAGTCGATCAGCACTATACTGTTAAGTAGTAAGTATAAATATACTGTTAAGTTTCACTCATGTGTTTTAAATGAATATATCCTTCTACTTTCCAAAATTAAAGGCAGTTCTCACATAAATGACTTAAAAATTCACCCACTCATTGAAGACTGACTTGCGGATGCCCTCTAGTGGTTTGCAGCCATGTTTTTGATATAATAAGAGAAATAAGAAGTGACCAGTGATTTGGCTGCCTAGCAGTAACATTAGATTTCTGTCTTTTTCTGCTTTAGCCAGCTAGCAGAAAAAAAACAAAAAAACATTTCAAACAGCCATCCCTGAAGCACTTGTTGTTTTTCAAAAGTTTCTCCCACCTTTAAGATACATCACCAAAAAGTGGTTTTCCTAGTCTTTAAACTGGAAAATCTCACTCTCAGGTCTGCTGTGGCACGGCAGGAGGCGAGTAGGCATGTTTACAACAGATATAGCAATGGCTACATTTTTCATTTTGGCTTCAACGCTCCTTTAGAGATTTTCCTGTTAAACACTCCCACTTATTTTTCACTTCAGAACTGACTATACTGAATTGTCATTGGCATCATGATAAACATGTTGGAAGTAGCTGAGCATTTCCTTGTGAGCCATCTTTATGCATGGCGCTTTAGTTTCATTGCCATTATGTAAGCTGAAGTGCAGCGATTTCCATACATTTAATATTATTTTTAATAATTAAAGTGTTTTTCTTTTAATTAATTCAATGTAGAAAAAAATGCCTCAACAGATGCTAGCTAATTAGCATCCCTGCATGCTTTATGTCTTTGTTGTTTTTTTTTTTCTTTCAATCCAGAATAGTATAATTAGGATATTCCTGAAGCTGCATTTTTTTTTTTGATTAAACTGGTGAGAAATTAGCATAATGCTAAATTAAGCATTTGACAGTTGCAGATGATGCTTATCAACCTAAAATCACATAGTTAGGCTCAGTGTACGTCTCCCAGACTTTGATAGTGGGTTTTATGCATTTATTTATTTCTTTTTCTGATTGCTAGTATTCTTGTCCTTTGTTCTGTCTGGCTATAAAATCAAGAGTGGTAATTTCCTCTCTTGAAAATATACACCCCCCACCCCAACCGCCCCGTTACCCCAGCCCGCGCGGTTGCCTAGGCAATGAAATGTACTAGCCCGGGCCTCGAGTGGATTTGCAATTAAAAAGAGCCAAAGAAAGCCGTGCTCCTCGGCCAGTGAGACGAGTGGCTTTATATCAGAGCTAAACTCATAACCCCCGATAACGACACCCTTTATAGCGCCTCGTATTGCCAACGTAATGGACGACGAAAATGGGGGGATTGGATTAGAGCAAGGGGCTAATCGCACGCACAGATCTACAAAGAATTGGACTTTATTGATTAGAACACGGGCCCTCAGTGCCATAGCAAGCAGCTGATAGGATCTCTTATTTACCAGCGGGCTAGATGAGACCTGGACACATGATAAAGCAGGCTTCCAATGCCCTTGAGTTTAGTCAGCATACGGGAGAGGCAGGAAAGTCCAAACAAGCAGAATAGGCACCAATTACCCAGGTGACAGTGTTAAGAGGAGGTGA